AGGAGAGAGTCTAATAGAGCCGGCCCCGGCCCCAGCACATCAGATGGATGGGAGCAGATTGCTCCGTGGGAATGGGATGTGATGCTTAACGCGGTCCTGGCTGGGGCCAGGAGGTGTTCAAAGCACAGGAGGGAAACTGAGGCAGCTGTTGGGGCCCCTCTGCAGCCAGCAGAGAGGGACCTGTCCTTACCAGGGGTACCCAGGGGTGTCTTGCATCCCAATCCTCATCCAAGAGCAGTGTGAGATGTTCAACCCTAAGCCAATCCGGGCAGGATTCGGGCAGCCAGGTGTGAGCCCACAGCTGGGGAGCAGCTGGATACCCCCATAATATGGCAGGAAACTCCATCCATGAAGCTCAGGCTCCAAGTGTGTACACGTGTGCAAGGTGGCATGGGTGTGCAAGGCTCATTGCCACCGCTGCTCCTGCACCAGGTGCCTTCACTGTTGTTGGCCAAAGGGAGTTTTTCTGGGTGAAAAACTCCTCAATTCTGGTACTTTTTCTCCCACCTGGAATAAAGTTGTTCCAGTTGGGAATGGCTAGAGGCAGGGGAGATGCCTGCCTGGCAGCACAGCCCCATGGAGTCCATCAATACCAGGTGACGGTGAGGCCAGAGGTCAAGCTCTTTGCTAATCTAGCGACAAATTACCCCAGAAATTCTGCGCCGGAGCCATCTCCCTCCCCGTGGGAAGCGGTTTTGGGTCCCACCAGGTCCATCCCGCTGCCAAAAGCTGGGAAGGGAACAGGGAGAGATTTCAGCCTCCACCCCAAGACTTTCAGACTGTACCAGGTGAGGACAAGGATGGAGGGACAGGGACAAGGGCAAGGATGATGGTGGACAAAGCCATCAGAATGGTGGAGATGGTGGAGAATGCCACCAGACCCATCACCGAAGGGGGTCTGGCTGGGGTGTCCCTGCCGCTCCCAGCCCCCCAGTGTGCCCAGTGCCATCCTGGACCACTTTGGAGTCTCCAGCCAAGGCTGCAGCAACGAGTGGGACTGGGGGGCTGCAGGAGAAGGGGACCCTAAGAGGGTACAACATGGTTGGGTGACCGACCTGCAGGAAGCAGGGTGAGCCACTGGCACCTAGCAGATGAAGGTCACCTGGAGCTGCTGGGACAGTGGTGTCCCCAAAATCCCTACTGCCACAGCCTGCACTTTGCAGCCTTTGCTGGACCAGCACAAGCACCCGCTGCGATGCAACCCCCTCCCATCGCCAGCACCTTCACCTGGCACCCCCAACCCTCCTCTTCCTCCAACTCCAAGCAGCACGGCTGTTCGTGCCCGGCTCCACGGATGCTGAGTTTGCCTCTGTGCAAACACGCGTGCTTGAGCTGCCTCTTTTTTTTTTCAAAATTTTTTTTTTTTCCTGTTCTTGGCATTTTGGTGGAGCGAGATAAGAGTAAAAAACAACAGAGCTGCTCGGAGAGTGAAAAAGGGAGATAGATAACACAGATACTGACTCCTACACAAAACAGTCCTGGCTTTATCACTGCTTTTTATCACAGTTCCTCTAAAAAAAATAAAGAGAGCAGCCCAACTGGAATGGGGCAGCACATTAAAAAATGAACTTTATACTGTTTGCTCTTTAGTTTTATATTTAGATGAAACAAACTTAGATTCTTGAGGTCGATACCTTTTCCAGTGCAAGGAACCAAAGAGTCTGGAAGCCTCATTTGCTCCAGTAGGGATAAGTGAGGAAACTCAAGTATAACTTAGACAAGCAGACGCTAAGAGAGCGGTGCCTGGTCCCATCACCCAGCCTTGTTTGAGGCCACCAGGCATGATGGTTTGACCATCTTTAAGCCTGGATGGCCAGCAGGATGAAGCTGGACCCAAAGCATCGCACTGGACCAGGCAGCTTCCTGCAGCAGATCCAGTGAGGCTCAGGTAGGAGATGGGTGTAGAAATGCAGATGTCTCCTGAGCATCCCTGCGCCCCACCAGCTGGCTGCTGGTCCCTGGGGACAGCCAGATGCCATGTGAGATGCCAAAGCTGGCACCAGGATGCCAACCATGTGCCACAGCCGTGTGGCATCGCTGCAGCTGGCAAAGCCAAACATCCACACAATGTGAGCAGGTCCCTGGCATCCAAGGACAGCATCTCCATCCCACGTGCAATACACCCCATCCACACGGCTCCCCAAAATTCTTTGCCCACCACAACCCCTTGTCCCCAAGGCCACCGCACAGGACTCTCCCTTCCCACTGCCAACCCCAGGCACAGGCTGGCATTTCGGAGCAGAAAAACCCCCAACGCACAGGGCACGGCCAGAAAGAGGGAAAGGAAAAAATAATAATAATAAAAAAATAATAAAAATGGACTGGAGGTTTTTCCCTCCCCTCGTACTCCCTTCCCTACCTTCTTTTTGAAAAACATAATTTATCTGTGTATTATCAAGAAATCCAGACACTTTAATCAGTGAGCTATGAAGTCAGTATTTCCATTCTTATCTAGCGGAGGAGTGGAAATGGAGAGCAGATAGGCAGCTCCGAGCCGGTCCGTGGTGGGGAATGTTAATGGGAGGAGCGGCAGAGCCATTGGCTACCGAGCTGCCGCTATCGCTGCCATTATCGGGGCGTTATCAAGGCAACCATCGCAGCGCAGTAATGGGGCCAGTTCAACTTTCCGCATTATCATAGGAGCTGGGAGTAGCATGAGAGGCCTCGGCTGGGAGACGGAGAAGCGAGCGAGCGGCTGAACTTCCCGGCGGAGCAGGGGTTGGGATGGGGGGGAAGCTAAAAGCAGCTTTTCCTCCCTGCGGTCCCCTTGAGCTGGTGATGCGCAGGGTGATGCTCTCCTCCTTGGGCATCCCCAGGTAGCGACCGACCCCCTTGAGCATCCCCAAAATGCCAAGCACCATCCCCTAAGCACGTTCCCAAAGCTCCTGGGCATCAATCCCACCGCACATCCCCAAATCGCAGGGCCGTGACCCCCCGGCTTGCCAAGGACAAGAGAAAACAATGCATCTATATTTCATCAGATGAACAAATTAGAGGAGCACATTTCCTCCACGCGCTATCGAATGGGAGATGTCAAGAAAATATGTTGATGTGAGAAAGAGGAGATAAAGAATTATTTTGGAGGAAAAAAGCCGTGGAAGGCTCTTATCTGGAGTGACTCATAGGCACACACTCCTTAACCCCACTGCAGCCCAAGGTCAGCAGTTACATTCCTTTCGGCATTTCATCCCTTCCAAAAAAACATGTTGCTGCAGGAACAATGCGGAGCCTTTGCCGGGCAGCCATCGGAAGAGGGAACTGTATTACCCCCGAAACACTTGAACTTTCCTGATAAAATAAAGCAGCGGGACAGCAGCCTGGCCAAGCCAGAGCGTCCAAAAGCCCTGAGTCAGGCAACAAAAACAGTCATGGGACACGTTGCAGAAAAAAAAAAAAAAAAGAGGAAAAAAAAAAAGAAAAAAAAGAGAGATTTGCCTCTTGCTCCCACTCCTGCTCTTCTCCAACCACAGGGAACTGATTTCTTCTTCCCCCAGCAAGAAAAATCCATGTCCTCGGTGCAGCCATAGGACTCGCAGAGCCAGAGCGCGATGTGGGGTTGGCAGAGAGGTGTTTTCCACTTTTTCCTCTTAAAGAAATGTTAAAATCACAAGGTTTCTCTGCTCCTGCCGTCCCCCCAGTTGCTCTGACCCGTGCTTGGGACTGCTCACACCCCTCTTGCCAGGCAGCCTCAGGTCCCACCACCCGGCTGCACTGCTATGGAAGGTCTGAACTGGTTTTCTCTCTGCAACATTGCCCCAGTCAGCGTTTTCCAAGGCAAGTCATGGGGTTTTTTTACAGTAGGGTGGACAGCATGCAGGGAAAACATCCTCTTCCCTTCCCCAGAATGGGCATATTTGACCCCAAATCCACCACCATCAAGCAGAGCACAGTGGCTCCAAAACCCCAGGCTGTGACAGCCCTGCTGGTCCCAGTTTGGGCAGTGCTCTCCCTTCCTTTCCCAGGGATGAGGGTGGCATCAACCCCACGGCTGGCATGGGGCTGGGAATGCTGTATGGCAAGGGGTGCCCCAGGGATGCTGCGGATGGTGGACATGGTGACTCTGGAGGACTTCACCCCCTGATGACTTGATGCCATGTGGTTTTTTGGGATGCTACCACGGCTGGGTGGCTCCGATGGGTCCCCAGGGAGGGGACGGGGCTGCCCCTCTCCAGGAACCACAGATCACCTGCGCCATGGCACTATCTCCTTGCGCAATCTGCTGCAACACCCGTAGGGAAAGGATTGCTTTCTTCCCAAGCCCTGATTGCCGAACTGGCCGGCTCACAAACTTGGCGTTAAGGAGAACCTGGAGCCTGCTAGGTGGCCTCGTGATTCACGACGGAAAATAAGACCTTGCCCAACTGCATCAGTTCGGAGCCAGAACCATAAATCCCAGCCGGAGGTGGCTTTCCCGATGTGGCATGGGATGTCAGAGACGGTCCCTGCGGTGCGGGCATCACCGCAGCTCCACGGGTGGAGGGTGCACGGAGGACAGAAGGGGTGGCATGGGGTGTCTCGCGGGGGTGTGGGAGATGGAAGAGCAGCAGCAGACACAAACCAACCCAACCCCTAGCGCCCACGGGCCCTAGAAGCAACCGCCTGCCAAAGCCGCCGTAGCCTCCCTCGCTGGCGCGGCTGCCAGCGCTGCCTTCCCGCCCCGTGGCCGCCGCCGGCGACGTGCGCTGGGGCTCTCGGCAGAACAGGTTTTGCCACGCCGCCGGGTACCCCACGCACGGCTGTGGCCAGCCTGGATCTGGCACTTGCCCTCCGAGCATCCCGCACACATCCTCCCTGCCCGACGCGGAGATTGGGGATGGTGGCCGGGAAGAACCATCTCGGAGATAAACAGCCCAGCGAGGTCACAAAACGGGCTCCGCAGGGTGGGACAGCCACAAACACATCCTGTGGCCGGCAGAGCATGGGGCAGCCCGGAGCCCTGGAAATGGATATATTGCTCCAGAGAGAGGGTGAGGCAAGCTGTGTCCTCGACCACCAGATGAAAGGCCCACAGGGATGCTCACACCTGGACCACTGGGCCATGGAAGAGGAGAGAAACTTCTTCTAGCATCACCTGCAGCTGGTCCAAATCCCACACTGAGTCTTTCCTGCAGTGCTGCCAAGTTATTGGTGGGAAATGGCTGGTGACAGCCCGGAGAGCTCACCATGGTGGGCTGTGTCCCACCAGCACCACCAGCCCCTTGCCCCATCCCACCCTGCAGGGACCACGATGGGTCCTCGCCTCCAGAAGCCCTGGATGCCGCCCCATGGCATATCCCAAGCCGCCAGCAGCTTCTGGGATGGGCAGAGCCACTGCGGAGGCTGATGTGCCATGGGGCTTTGCTGCCAGCATCCTTGCCAGCTCCAAGGAGCCGCCGCTTCAAGATGCCACTGAGTCAGGGCTGGCAAATACCTCGGGGGGGTGGTGTTTGCACAAGAGGGGAGGGGTTGGCAGGCAGTGCCAGTGGGAGTAGCAGACATGTGGGACACAGGGATGCCACCCCCGGGATGCCAGGAGCAGGGCCAGGCACAAGGGGGGCTGCAACACCGAGGCAGCCCCCGGGGAGGCACAGAAAATACCGGTTTTGGGAGGAGAGCCGGGAGGCTCTGCCTGCACCCAGCTCATCCTCGGGTCCTCCCTGAGGAGCAGGCAGAAAACCCTCCCCACCCAGCAGAGCAGCCCGGGGTAACACACCTCCCCAGCCACCCCACTGCCCACCCTGGCCCCGAGCATCCCTTCCCCGGCAGGCACGGATGGGGAAACTGAGGCACAGGGGCCGGTACTGATGGAAAAGTGCAGCAGCATCAGAGAGGCGGGGGGTGGAGAAAAACAAAAAAAAAGCAAGTGGAGGCAGTTAGTCACCTGCAGAGCCCGAAAGGGAAGGAGCGACTCAGCGAGCAAAGGGAGCAGGAGAGGAACGGGCAGGAGGCGTGCCGGGAGCATCCCACGCCACCGGCTCACCACGCTGCCGCCGCTAAAAATAGACACCGGCTTGGCCACTGTCATCTTTACAAGAAATGCAGTTTTCCAAGCTCCTGGGAAGTGTGGCTCCCACGGGCTGGTTGGCACCAGG